AGTCTCCATCTGTTTCCACTCCTGCCCCCTCCAAAACAAAACACAACACACTGTAAATCAGAATATATGACTGTCTGATTAAAATTCTTCAATGGTTTCCCATCATCTTCAAGATAAAAACAGTATCCTTACCATTGCTGATAAGGACTTGTATGACCTGGCTCCTGCTTCTTTGTGGAATCCTACCAGTCTCACCCAACATCTCTAGGCTGCATACCACAGGGCCTTCTTTCTGTCCCAGGAACATACCACACTGTCCAGGCTCACGGTCTTTGCACTTGCCGTTCCCTCTACCTAACTCCTTCTCCTCTGTCCCTCACACACACACCAACACATATACATGAGGCTAGCTCCTTCATAACAAATAACACCTCCCTAGGAAGTCTTTCCTAATAAACCATCATGTAAATGAAGAAGGAAAGAAGACGGAAGTATAGAGTAGTAGAGAGAACACTAAAATAATGGCAGTTGGAAAACCCCGCTTGTTGCCCCAATTCTGCCCCTGCTCACCTATGGACGAGCCACTTCACCTCACCCGATCAGAATCCTCATCCCCACCAAGATGCATAGAGCCAGTGATGTTATGTGCGCCATATACTAGAAGTCTTCACTTTTTTGTTCATGAGCCCTCATAAGAATTTTGAAAAAGCTATGACCCTCTCATACATTTTTAAGTTAATAACTAAAATTATTTTTCTCAAGTTAAAATTCGTTCCAAGGCAGAATTTTCTGGCACAGTCTTTATTAGAGACATGCTTTAGATATATTTTCACCCAAACTTGGAAGCTAAGATTTAGTTTTTCAGTTTATGGAAATTGTCAATGCAAGAAACATCCAAACCTATAGGGAATTTTTATGAGTTTATCTGAGCCAAACTGACAACAATTGCCGGGAAGCAAAATCTCAATGGATTGAGAAAGTGCTCCCAAAAATGGCAATTTTGCAGCTTATTTTATATATTAGAATCAAAAGAGGAGACATAAAGGGGATTACATAAAATCCATTGGTTTAGATTAAGGGGGTGGGAAAAAGCAAAGTGGGGTAAAATCTATAAGACTGGATAAAAAGTAAAATAGACACATACTTCTTTTACAGTGGTGGGTACAGGATAATTAATAATTAATATTTACAGCACATAAAAATGGTATAAAGGTAACAAGATAACAATGAGGGGTTTTGTAGTCTCATGCTCTAGTGCAGGGGTCCCCAACCCCTGGGCCATAGACTAGTACTGGTCCATGGCCTGTTAGGAACCAGGCCGCACAGCAGGAGGTGAGTGGCGGGAAGCAAGCAAAGCTTCATCTGTATCTGCAGCCGCTTCCTAGCACTAGCATCACTGCCTCAACTCCACCTCAGATCATCAGGCATTAGATTCTCATAGGAGCACCAGTCCCTGGTGTCAAAAAGGTTGGGGACCACTGCTCTAATACAATAGGTGTGTCCCGAGGGGTCTGGAAAAGGAGAGTATGATGACATTTCAAAGGTGTGTTATCTTAGATGCAAAAAGACAATAGATAAGCTCACTTAAAGTGAAAATTGACTTTTGTCAACAAAGCTACAGTTCTAAGATGTGACTATGTGTCACGGCCCACTTTTTGTTAAAAATGTTTATACTTAGACCATCCTATGCAGTTACTTTCGGTCTCTGAGTTTGTAGGGCCGCCCATGCTGGCCTCTCCTGAGCTTGTCAGATTTAGAATAAGGCTCCTCTTTGATCCACAAAATTGTCTACCATATAATCCAATTGTCAAAGGCAGTCCTCCCTATCAAATCAATCAACCAAACCAGAATATTTCTGACTGTAAGAAAATCCACCTTCATTTCTAAAAATTTCTATAAATGAGTTCATTTGCATCCCCATGACAACAAGCTCAAGTCCCACAGTTCTAATTTTAGAATACATAGATAAAGAGCTAGAGCACTTTTGTTTAAGATAGAGAAGCATAATGGTTAAGAGCACACATTATAGAGGAAAGGTACAGAGATCAAGTCCTGATTTTGCCACTTAATAGCTCTGTGACCTTGGGCAACTTATTATATAAACCTCTGGGTGCCTTGGGAACCTCATCTGTAAAAACAGCATACGTATTTACTTTATAGATCTGATATGAGTATTAAACAAGTTTATTATGCTATAAAACCTTTAAGACAGTGCCAGGCACATAATTAGCATTAAACAGTCCCCAAGAAACGTACCATAGAAAGATTCAGGGAGGATCTAGTAAAGAGAAGGGAAATAATGAAAGCAGAGTTGAAAAGGAGAACTTAAAAAAATCCAGATAAGCAGATTGCTTTCAGGAAAGAGTACCCGTGGAATCTGACAATCTGGAAACTGATTCCCCTAAAGCTATCCATGTCCACATTCCCCCAGTTCCAGGGCACTGGTGTATTCGACACAAACTCCCTAGGCACATTCGGAGCTTGATATAATTCCTGGTGTCCCAACTAAAACTCCATCTCTTTCTATTTAACTTAAGAAAGAGCAAGAATTGTAGATTAGTAAGCAATATATCCCTGAATTTGCTCCAGGTTGTACAAATGTAAATCATTCATAAATTTTAGTACTTTTATTAGGAAGAATATATTAGCTGCAACCGAGCATATAGCTGAGGCCAAGAGCCCATAGATCAGGACATGGGACCATTCAGGAGGCCGGCCCTTCATGAACCATCTTAAAGCCCTAAAAAGGAAGGATTATTTCCTCAGACAGATAGGGACCCCATCAGGCTTAGAGACCTTGGTGTCATCTCCTCCACCCCTATGCATCAACCACATTTCTGAAACATAAATCAGATGTTCACCCTTTGCTAAATCCCTCCAATAGTTACCCAATGCCCTTGATAAAATATCTAGGTTCCAAAGCAAAGCACATAAGAACCTCACGACCTGAGTCTTGCCTATTTATACAGTCTCATTTCTTGCCATGCCTCCATATACACCCTATACTTCAGCCATACTGAGCCCCCAAGCAATTCCAGCTCTCTCTCTCTCCGCTAGGCCTTTTCACATACCTCCCTCTACTAGAATACCTTCCTTCCCCAATTTGTTCTCCTGGTGAAGTCCTAACACCCACTTCAAGGCTCTGTCCTAAACACCTCCTCTATAAAGCCACATTGAGCATCTACCATGTGCCTGCCATTGCACTGGGCACTAGATACAGTGGAGAACAAAGCAGACACGGCAGAATTAAATGCCCCTCTTAGTTCTCTCAGCAACCTCTGTTCCTGTCTAAGGTACTATTGTCATCTTTATATTACCACCATCTCCTCCACAAAGGCTGTGAGCACCCTGAGAATAGGACTCCTGTTTTATTCATCTTCACATCCCTATTATGGAGCCCATGAAATGCATCTAAAATATTTGCTGGATTCATTAACTCACAAAGGATTCATCAAACATTTTTATACCAAGGACATACAAGTTACTGGTTCTACAACCGTGAACCAACAGACACTGTCCCTGCCCTCTTGGGACCAACAGAGCACTTGATTGAATAAATAATGTATGAATGAGTGAATGAATTAATGAATCAGAGAAGGAATGTGCTCCTCCCCACTCGGATGAAGCATGCCAGAGCAGAGACGTACAGGAAGTACGAAGCCAGTGTCTAGGAAGTTGGAGATTGATGATGTCCTTTTGTTCTGTCTGATATAGAGAAAATTATTAGCCGTGTGACCTTAGGCAAGTCCTTTAACCTGTGCATATCTTCATTTCCTCATTTGTAAAATAAGGATAATAATATAACAGGGCTCTGATTAAATAAAATAATGCATTTAAAAGCAGAGTTGTTTTGGGGAACTGGTAGTTCCTATCATTTGCTCAGTGTGAGTGCACAGATTTAGAAACACAATAGTATAGCCTGTAGGGGACAACATCTCCCTCCAGCTCCAGGTCCTGGCCCTGACCTCTACTTCAGACTCCCAGGAGGCTCCTTCCTTGTTGAGCCTCACCATCCCCCACCCCCCTTCTTGGCCTCTGTTTCTTCACAGCGCAGTTCTGTGCTTTTAAGGCCAGGGGTTGTCTTATATATCTTTATAAGCCTAAGGGAGGTGGTGGTTAAGGAGAGACGCAGTAGGAAGGGGTCCAAAGAAGAAGAGAAGAGCACAGATGCATATCGAGGCCCCATTATGTGCTGGCTTGATATTGACATGCATTGTCTCACGTAATCTTCATAATAATACCGCTTGCAGATGAGGAAACTGGGGCTCAGGAAGAGAACAGGAGAGGTGGGATATGAAACCAAGTGTCTCTGCGACTCTAAAAAAATGTTCCTTTATGCCACATTGCCCACCAACTTACAGATGATCATTAAACATGTTTAATAAGTTTCGGTTTTCTTATTCCCAGGTAGAGCAGAAATTGTGTGTTCCCCTACCCCAGAAAATCCAGATACATGTTCAAACAATGATGAATAAACAAATGGATAATAACAAATCAATGAATGAATGAATGAATGAGTGATATCCTTCATAGGCACCGTACCAGGAAGAAGGAAACAAATAACCCTGGGGAGGTGAAATACAGGAAGAAAGCAGAGACTGTCTTCCCTGGCTGTGGTCTCCAGGGCGCTGGATAGGGGCAGAAAACAAGCCACCCAGGAGAACTAGGAACGAGCTCTGTTGGAGGGAAGAAAACACTGGGAGGCAGGAGTTGGGGGGTAGCTTACTGGGGAGAATGCGATGAAGGGGAAAGAAGACCAGGGCAAGGAAGCAGAAGAGCATTACCTGGCCCCCACCTTGTTCCTGGGGAGAAGCCAAGAAACAGCCCCCTGACTTGTGGCCTAACATTTTGCCAAGTTTAAAAAGAAAGTTACAAGATCCCAAACGGCCACTTCTCGAGGCTACTTCAAAAGGGAGGTTGCCAAGGAAGCACCCTACAAGTCAGTCTCCTTCCCGAACTAGCCCTGGCCTGCCTCCCTTCCTGCCCCCATGCTTCCTGCCACCAACTCCCTTGTCCCCAAAGGGGACCCCCTCCACCCGCTCCCAGCTCCCACAGCTTACCTCCTTCCCTCTGGAGGCCAAAGGCGTCCCAGACAGGACTGGCTGGCTGCTCTCCTCCTTCCAGGCGTTCTGGGCCAGGGGGCTGCCTCTACTACCCTGCCGTTCCCGCCTAGACGGGCGCTCCTTGGCCCCTCCCAGAACTAAATTTGCCGGACAGGTTCCCAGCAGTCTGCACTGGGGGAGGGAGCCTGAGGAAATCCCCTCCCAGCCTTGAGCAGGGCTGAGCCAGCCAGCCCTGGCAGTCTCACTCCTGGGCTGGCCCTGGATGAATGAGTCCTCCCCCTCCTCCTGCCTGGGCCTGAGCCAGGGAGCCTGTGACAGCCTCTCTGCTCTTTCTCCGTAGTGGAGGCACTGAACTCCATTCCTCCTCCAAGTCCTACCCTCCTGCTCTATGTCTGGGTCTTCTGCCTTCTATTCTCAGCTCTCTGGGAAAAGACCTTAGCAGGGTGGTCTCTATCACTCTGCATCTGGTTATGCTCTGGAGGGAAGCCAGATGCAATAGATGCTTAGAGGATAGCACTGTGAGGCTTAGTGACTATGGGAAGAGTTTACCCTCTCATGACCTAATTATCTCCCAAAGGCATCATCTCTAAATATCATCACATTGGGGGGTAGGGCTTCAACATACAGATTGGGGCTGTAAGGGACACAGTTCAGTCCATAGCACCAGGCATACTGTCTGCCAAAGGCAAGACTCAGGTCCCTTAAAAGTAAACGAGAACTGGAGGGGACGAAACAAGTAGGGTGAAGGAGAGCAGGAGGCTGGGAGATGCCTGAAGCAGGAGAGAGGGGCAGCTGAGGTGTTTTGTGGGGAGCTCATACCTACGTATGACGTCAGTGCACCCCACCCTTATTTTCTAGCTAAAGTAGGTGATAAGGTCACCTGCTAGGAGTTGGAGGGATCAAGATTGGGTGAGAGATTGAAGGAAATAGTCAAATATTTGAAAAACAGCTAGGAGGAGAGAAAAACAACCAAAGTAATGTAGAGGTTCACCGAGGGGTGACCAGATCCCAATCAGATCCACAAGGAGGCAGGAGTGAGAGGTTCCCCCAGAAAGTGAGAAAGTGAGAAAAGCAGGTCCTGTCCCAGGTGATATCACAGTCAGGTCAATGCAAAATGGTTGAGACCCAAGGTGAATGCCACCAATACCATTTGACCCCCAAGACTGGAGATTAAATTTTCATATAAGATGGAAAATGTCTCCTGAAAGAAGGCAGAGTTCTTTTTGACGCCTGCTCAAAAGGGCTGTGGACAGTCATGGAAGTGCGAAGAGCACATGAGACAAACACCGACAGTTCTTGGTCACAGAACTGCACAGAGGAAGGTGGCTGTGCCAGGTCAACTCCAGTATCTAGTTCTCCCCACCATGTAAAGGTGGACCCAGGCTGTCAGAGATACAACTGACCATTCCGACCCTGCAACCAACCTCCTTTGTCCGATTTCATCCTCAAAAAGCTGCTTCCTAATTGTGATTTTTCTTTCCCAGCTCTGTAATTTCAGAAAGTGAAGGTGTCTGCCCATACCCAATGCACATAAGTTAGGAAGCACTTAGAGAGCAAAGCCTGTATCTTATTTACCTCTATGTCCTCAGCAACCAGCACAGGGCGTGGTATTGAGTTGGGTTTCAAAAGGTATTTGCAAAACAGATCTGAGGAGGGCTGATATAAATATTTTTTGTAAATTAATAAATTCTTATTTAGGAGCTGTATATCAGTTGTTTGGGAAGCTCATTAACGTGAATCAGTACCTACAAATCACATTAGTTCAAAGATCTTGACAAGCTCACGTTTCTAAGCTTGCAAAATTCAGAGCCTGACCCTGGACTACGTTGACTTCACCAAGATTATGTCCTTTGGGGTCAGCAAATCAGTCTTCTCCACATTTCTACCCAACCTAGCATCATCTCTCCCTATCTCTCATGAGGCCTAAAGGATCTTTTCCCATTTAGATGTTTCAATTTAAATTTCTACAAATATTTGTGTGGGTTTTTTTTTTTTTCTCCAACAGCTCTTAGCTGTTCAGACAAAGAACATGGAAGGAGAGTGGTAGGATTGATTCAGGTCTAAGTGGTGCGGAAAGACAAGGGCCAGACATCCTTCCAGCCAACTACAGCCCCATTTCTCGGAGAACAGCTCCTACCCACACCATCTCTTGGGACTTGGGCTGTCATTTATGTATTCTATGATCAACATTGTCACAGTTATTGGGACATTGGTCACAGTGATTGGACTAGCGAAGGAGGACATTAGACTCAGGGTGGCCAATTCCTCTCCCTTTCCTAAAAATTTGCAATGGGAATAAGAAGACCCTACTTTGTCTCTGCTTTATAGCTGAAACTAAAAGAAGTAAATCTTGGAGCTAAAGAGAATTCTTGTGTGGAGGTGCAGAGTAAACCAATCTCCACGGCACTCTGAGCTTACCACATTATTTGGGGGGAAACCCAGTCTTTCCCTCCTCTGTGTCTCCTTCACTACCCACACAGAACACTTCACTTCTGACACTTCAGGTCATCAAAAGTGAGGAGTGGGGTTCCCCACCAAACGATTCTCTGTGACATCAGCTGAGTGCCTTACAATTTAACTTAATTCTGACACTGTCTACCTGGAGATAGTGTCAGATCACACAGATTAAGGGCTCAGTCCGACAAGACTGACTCCTCCTTCAGATGCCATCATAAGTAATAGGTCCCCAGGTTACCTGCAACTTCTGTCCAACTTGACTACAAATCATAAGTTCTCATGTTCCCCTCCTTTGGGGTTCAATTAATTTGCTAGAGTTTCTCAGGGGACTCAGGGAAATACGTTTACCAGTTTATGAAAGGATATGATAAAGAATACAGATGAACAGGTAGGTGAAGAGATACATTAGGGGAAGTCTGAGAAGGTCGCAAGCAAAGGAGCTTCTGTCCCCATGGAGTTGGGGTGTGTCACCCTCCCAGTATGTGGATGTTAACCAACTTGAAAGCTCTTGGAATCCCATACCACTGGGATTTTATGGAAGCTTTTTTACATAGGCATGATCAATTATTAACTCCATTTCCAGCCCCTCTCTAGAGAGTGGGCAGGGGGCTGAAAATTCTAAGCTCTAACCATGACTTGGTCTTTCTGGTGACCAGCCCCATCCAGGAGCCTACTCAGAGTTATCTCATTAGAACAAAAGATGCTCCTAGTGCTCTTATCACTTGGGAAATTATGAGGGTTTTAGGGGCTTTGTGCCAGGAACTGGGGGCAGAGACCAATATATATATTTTATTATTTTACTCACATCATAACATCTACTACAATGTATTTAAATTATCTCTATCTATGTCCTTCTCTTTCACT